GGGGCATAACATTAGGATTCCTTTACGGTGTTGAAATAGAAAATCTGCCATAGACTTCCAGGTAACATCTTGTTACTACCTTGACTCCTACTACAAGCACAACACAGCACATGATGATATTTTAATGAATGTTATAATATATCAACTACAGAAATCTAGCATACTTACTTGAATTTCACAAGCAGCAACCAAATTATGAATATAATAGAAAGCTTCTTCAACACTTTCTCCAACTGCTACCAAACCATGATTTCTGAGAATAAGAACCTTAAGGAAGAGAAAAAGAAAGAGCGTTATAGCAGGTTAGATGAATTCCAGACCACATTTCTCTTTACCATTTGCACCCTAGTTTAACTACAAACCTTGCTTTTGGGGCCAAGATTCTTTTGAATCAACACTTTTTCTTCATTGTCCACAAGAATCCCATGGTAATCGTGATATGCTACTTCTCCAAGCGACAATGCTTCAGGTGAAATTGGCAGGAGACCACATTTCATTGCAGACACCTGATAATATTACAACACATGTTATAAAGTGGAGTAAAATAAGGAATGGAAAGCCTGTACTTACAGGGAATGTCTGTTCTTCTCAAGAGGAGGATGATAGCCAATGTGAGCAAAATCTTGTTTTGAGGCAGGAAATCTCATTTCGATGGAAACAATGCATTTCTTCTCCACCCAAAAATAGTGAAATACAAGATACCATGCCAATAAATCAAACTCTAAAACTGAACAAAGCCATGGAAGCAAAAAATTAACAATGAACAAGACAGGATAAATTTGCAGATAACCTTGTTAGCAAAGAAAGAGACCAGAAAAATAATATATCTACAGACATAGAAGTCAGATGTAGGGCTGTTTTGTTTTTATTTTCACCTCCAGCTCCATGGCTTAAAACAGGCTGCGAGAGATCTAGCATAACTGCATCTAAAGGGTGTTTTAATTCTCATTTTCCAAATATGGACAATAGTCTATGGAACACTTTGTGTGGCCAGTTTGTTGATTCTAGACTTTGCTGGCAAGGTTTTCTTGTTCTTTTTCTTTTGATACAATAGTTGTATCTAGTACAACTTGCCCCTCAAGAAGTTTTCAAACGATGGCTAAGTATGAGCCTGGCACCAGAAAATGCGTCTGCTGATATAATCAAAAGTCCACTGGTCGCAGCGCACAGTAAAGATAATTCATCATGAGGAAACAATACAGTTCTCCTCTCTGTCATGGTACCAGACTGGGGCAAATGAAGGAGAAATTTTTCATCATTCTACTTTCCATGAATTTGTCTTTGCCTTTTTACAATAAGCCAGTCTTGTACAAGGCAATAGCCCTGTTGGAGTTTGGTTGCACTGGAGAATATAGGAAGTCATCCAGGATCGGAGAAACGCAATATGAACATTGTTTTCCTGACCTTTTCTCCATATTAGGTACCCTCCTTGCCTTTAGAAGACAATCACTGGCATATGATTGACATGCACAAGCTATGTTATTACTATGAACAGAATAGTAATAAACTGACATACTTCTATAAATATCAAATGAATAGTTCTCAGTATTAAAAATCACAGCAATTCTGGGGGTAGAGACCCCTAATTTTAAAAACTATATTCCTTTCATTCACTCATGACGCTCAGCACTCTACAGAGCAGTGGTTCTCAACCCATGGCTCCCCAGGCCTACAACTCCCAGAAATCCCAGCCAGTTTTACCAGCTGTTAGCATTTCTTGAAGGCCAAAACATCTGGGGACCCATAGGTTAAGAACCACTGCTATAGAGGCACTGTTCCAGCTGCATGGTAAGTGGCTGGTCCCTTATTCATTCACAAAGTAGGAGTTTCCACTGGGAAATGCAACAGTAGTATTTGAATACTGAATATTTTAAAGACAAGTCTTATCCACCAGTTTCTATGTTGTCCTAGCTATTTATCTCTGACATGTAGAATACTTTTCAACCAAATTCTCAATATGCTCCATTGATTTTAACTAAGTTCCAATCACCATCCATAAATTTACTTCCTCCCTAATCTCAAGCTAATTTTCAAGGGAAATGCAAACAATTTTTAGTACAACCACTTATTTCTGAATTAAATTTAAAATTAAGATTTTCTCTTTATTTTTAAACTATGATGCTTATTTCCCAACAACAAGTTCTACTGGCTAGTACTATTTGGAAAATGTTGTCTTTTCTGAAGCTGAAAAATAACTAAAATCCTTGTTCTTTTTCTGCTGGTATTGCCACATGCTTTTCCATGAAATGGTTTGCTACTTCACACCTACAGTACGAAGGAATTTCTCACCGCTGCTCCTGCTGCTGTGTGGATGTGAACAATGCACTTGATATCAGGTCGAGCAGCATAAATGGCAGAATGCAAGGTGAAGCCAGCTTGATTGACTCCCAGATTGGTGCTTCCACGATCAATCACGTCACCTTGAACATTTATTTTCACCTGGGAAAATAAAATACTGTTAATCCAAAAACTGATTTTCCCCCCCAGCCAAACTGCATTTGGCATGGTTTTTTAAAAAAGTTTAATCATTTTAAGGCATCTTAATGTATACAAAAAATTCACATTATATCTATACCACCAAGTAAGGATAGGAATAAAAACAGTATGTGTCATTATTCTATCCTCTCACTCTCGCCCTATCTGCAAGCTCCCTGCACTGACAACAAAATTCCTGCTCAGGAGAAAATAACCATTTTTCTTTTCCTTCAGGAAGCCCATGTAGATCTAAAAATCAGATCCTATTGGAAGGGAACAAATTATTCAAGATATGCTGCTTTCTAATATGGTAGCTTAATCAAACTGGTGCTCTCTGAAACTCATCATAAATTTTACAATACACAATGTAACAGGAGGAAAACTAATTATAGATGCTTGCACAGGGAAGCTATGACGCAGCAGCTTGCAACATTTAATAGAAAACATGATTCCAATGCTTAATTTAAAACAAAGATAAATATTAAACCTCTGAAGAGAACGAAAGACAGGAAATTATGGTATCCGGCTTCAACACCAAAGGTATGAGGGCAAGTAGGAAGAAAGGTAAAGATGAAGACATAAAACTAGAACTAGGAGTTGACTGGGCAGCTTTAGAAAGAAAATTCACAAATATAACAAAGCAAATTATTTCAATTGTGTACTCAGCAAATAAAGCTCTGAAATTAGGGCTGAAACAAATAACAATATCTGGTATCTTAACAGGAAGAAATTCAAACAAAAATACAGATGAAATCAAATAAAGATGTCAATTCTTTTATATGCTGATATGATTTTATTTTCACTTACTTGTATAAGTCAAAGAAAAACTGAACATCAATTATATCAAAGACCACAGACACCCCACTTAGTTTCTCAAGTCTTAAGTAACTGTCTGCAACCACCATTTTCACACCCAGACATTCATAAAGGTCAGAAATGGTAACACGGTGGTGTAGAGGGGGGTCAGTACTTCTTACAGGCTTTCCAGGGAAGACCTTCATTTCTGCCTTTCCCCAATCTCAACAAAAGGGCTCTATTATACATCTAAGCCAATCCCCCTTTATAATATCTCCCAATTGAAGGCCTGCTTTGTGCAGAAGCAGGAGTGCCCCTCCACCCTTTTAAAAAAAGAAAACCTAAAAAAGACTTATCCCTTTTGGTTGGAAGCAGTTCCTGCCATTTTGCGGCAGCGATTTTGCTCCCAAAGGCTTTATTTATATTTAATGCAATATTCAGATATAAAAATTAGACTTTTTTCTGTCAACTTGGTGCCTTAAAAAAAACACATACAAACAAACAGAAATTAAATGCTCAAACAAAACAAAACAAAAGAATTAGGTCTAATGTTAAACTCTTTTTTTGAGTAGAGTTAAGGTAAAGTATTAACATTGACCCACTGATAAGTCAAGCCAGGTTTTTCAGGTTGATTTTTTATTAATTTTTTTTAGATGTCTACATCTATATCTATAAATTTCCTACTGGCGTCCAACGGAGAAGCAAAACTCTAAAACCCCTCCACAAAACTCCACCAAAATTGCCATGCCCCAAGGACAACCCACTAGGTACAAACTAATCCAGTCAGAAATCAAAACAACACAACCACACACAGAAAAAACGGCAAAACAACTGAGCATGCGCACTGGCGCAAAGTCCCCAGCGCGCGCACACACATGGCCGAACGGCCAATGCACTTCCCTCCCTCCCTCGCCCCGCCCAGCGCGAACACGTCACCGCACTTCCCCCCGCCCCCTTCCCTCCACCCCCTCCTTCATCTTACTCCTCCCATGCTGCCTCCAAGCCCCGCTCCGCACACTCCAAGCCTTGCCGCTCCGTATCCCCACTGGAAAGACACGCCCCCTCCCTTCGCCCCACCCCTTCCCTCCCTGAGACACTCCTGGAAGGAAAGGGGGGGCGAAGGGAGGGGGCGTGTCTAACCGGAGAGGGAGGGAGGAGGGAAGGAGTGAGTCAGGGAGGGAAGGGGTGGGGCGAAGGGAGGGCGTGTCTTCAAAGTCGCCCCCTCCCTTCCCCACCCCTTTCCTCCATGACTCACTCCTTCCCTCCTCCCCCCTCCCTTTAAAGACACGCCCCCTCCCTTCGCCCCACCCTTTCCTTCCAGGAGTCAATCAGGGAGGGAAGGGGTGGGGCAAAGGGAGGGGGCGTGTCTTTCCGGAGGGGGTGGGAGGAGGGAAGGAGTGACTCAGGGAGGGAAGGGGTGGGGAGAAGGGAGGGGGCGACTTTGAAGACACAATGATGGATCCGGACCAAAGCATTCAATACGCCCAAATATCCACACAGATGGAGTTTGAGGGAAATAGACCTTGACATTTGGGAGTTGTAGTCACTGGGATTCAGAGTTCACCAACACTCAAAGAGCATCCTGAACCCCACCAACGACAGAATTGGGGCAAACATGCCACACTGAACCCCCATGACCAACAGAAGATACTCAAGTTTACACACAAGCATAAAGAAGGGGGAGGAAGGAGGGATGCCAGAGAGAGAGAGAGAGAGAGAGAGAGAGGAAGAAAGGAAGGAGTGTGAGAGAGAGAAAGAGGGCGAGTGAAGGAAGGAAGAGAGGCCAGGCAGAGACTTCAAAACTCTTACTAAAGGCCACAGCAACGCGTGGCAGGGCACAGCTAGTGCATATATAAGGTATTAAGAATTAATTGTTAAAAAATGGACAAACTCCCAAATTGATTACTGTATTCTGGGAAAACCTAATATTGCTAAAAACACATATTATTCCTAACTGAAAATGAATCATTGTATTGTTCACTATCACATTAACAAAACAATTTGGCTCTCAATTTTGATACAATTAAACCATTAAGTACAAAAATGCCATTTCACTTACCAGACTAGAAGCAGTAACTTCACTATAGAGAAGCCCGAAAGGCACAATGAGAAAGTGTTCCTGCTCCGAATTTACTCTGACCTAAAATATGAGGATAAAAACTAAATATAAACATACATAGTTATTTTAAAATATTCTTATTTTACAGGCATGAAAGAAAGAATCTTGGCTTGAAATCAGTAATTCCTTGATATGCATATAAACATTTTGAAAGTTAAGAAAATATAAACTCAGTATGAATTTTCTGTTCATAAAAATATAGTATAAAGAACAATAACGCAAAAGCAGATTTTTGTACATATTATGCTAAAACTACACAGCTAACTAGCTATTAACACACTACAAAACCCAATCACAAACACACAAACAAAACACACACATACATAGACATACACACACAAACTACACTAACAAACAGCCATGGAGAAAATTCTACAAACCTCACACTCTATCTGATGGTTTTCATCCCTTATTATTCTACTCCTTTTAGATAATACTGTGCAACTACACTTCTATTTTTGACAACACACTTCTAATTCATAAATTCTACACTTGACATTTGACCTCAACATTGTGAAAAACAATGATAAACAAATTCCAGTCTTTCTTAAAGTTGATCAAAGATTTATCCTGAAGCAGCATGGTCAGGTTATCCATCTCAATGCAGATCTTTGTCAGCCATTCTTCTTGCATTGGGATAACTGGATCCATTCATCTCTGAGTAACGATATTCCATTTTTTTCTAGATAGGTGACTGCCTAAATGTTAACCTAAACGTTTTCTTCCAGCATCATGTATATTTGATTCCAATATTTCTGGATCTTTCTACAAGACCACCACATATGATTAAATGTCCCATCATTATCATCATCATCATCATTTGTACTCTGCTTTTATCTCTGTGATTGAGACACGAAGTGGCTATGTTCATGATTGTTATGCTCACTTTACCAACTTTTACTAGTGCTACCTTTATGCATCTTTAGAGAGTCTCTCTGGTGTCAAATACTACCATCTTTCAAAAGTTATCTTTCAGATCAATACATAAAGTACACTTCAAACTCTTTGTTGACACCTTCTCCAATTGTTCCAACTGCATTTGAGTTAACTATATATTGAGTCCATTTAACCCATTCGCTTGTCCTTCCTCCATTTCATATTTTAACAACAAACACTGGGTAAACTATTTCAGATCCAAGTAATTTTTATCCATCTTAAATTGCTCAGTGATGTGTCTATGAGCAAACCATTGTATTGAATAACCTTCCATCATTAACTCCTCTTTTGTCTTTAACCTATATTGATCATTAAATAGTGATAACAAGTCTTTAGAAGTCAACGATTTTTCTTCTAAAGAGATTTCTCTTCTAAACAGAACTTCAATCAGAGAACATCATAATGGAATCTTTGAATAAAATCTATTTTTTTATATTTATGTTAAACTCACAGTAGTGATCTCCTTATAAAGTGGTTGCTAATACTTTAACCTGCTTTTATTTTGTCATACCAAAGAAAAGCATGAAAATTTCTGGAGGGCACAAAATATTGCACGGGGAAAGGAAATTACATAAAAGCATTTATCTTTCAATATGTGAGACATTATACACAGCAGCTTTGAATCAAGTCAAATATATAGATAGGAACATTAAGAAACTAAAGTATCAAATGGATTTGGAAAAACTAATTTTAAAAAATCAAAGAAATGCAAACTATTTCATAATTCGGATTTATTAAGGGAATGAAAAAGTACAAAATGCATGGTAATTATGGTTATGTATAATTGTTTTATAAGAATAATAAAAAATGGGGAAAAGGGTAGAGTGTTACTTTGGTCTTGTGGTTCAAATGGTACAAATACACAAGATTTTAAAAGGGATATAAAAAGAGTCTGGCTGCTTTAGGAAAGAAAGAGAATTTGAGCTCTATGGGAGCCCTGTAGATCACACAAGCCAAACATTCCAAGCACAAGAAATCTAGGATTGAAACATTTCCAAGATGACAGTTCAGCCTCTGCTTTAAGGAGTTCAGTGATGGAAAGCCCATGCTTACTCAAGTGACACACATACACTTATATTAAAGCACACACAGCCATTCCATTCTTTTCTTTCCTTGAAAGTGAAATTGTGAAATATTTTATCAGATACATTTTCAAGTTTGGCAGGGCACCAGCAGCCACATAAAAATTGCTTCGGAAATCTGAGTACCCCCAAAATTAACCCTGTTCTGGGTAAAACTCAAATTAGATAAGATAAAACCTGGACTACAGATACATGTAAATACTCACCGTTATATGATTGTAAATAAGCTGTGACCAGCCAAAGAGATCAGCTAGCCTGTGGAAAGCTGCCAGTTTACATCTCAGTAATTTCTCTCCCTTTTCATAAGCAATAGAATCAGATCCCCTGAGATCATTTACAGGTGTCACCATACCAAGACCTGAAGAGAGGAAAGGTACATGTCTAATATTGCAGCTAGACAATCACAGCTCTCAAAAGTGTTCCCTGAATATCTCTCAAACCAATAAAAGACATACATCAAACCAAATTACACTATAAAATCCAAAACATATTATGCAAAACATCACACTCTGTTAATATAGTATCACTCCTGAGCATTTTTATCTGTTTTCTAATACTATGTTATTCTGAAACATAACAAAAGAGAACTTGCAGACGACTCCAAAGTGGGAGGGATAACTAATCCAATTCTAACCACAATTCAAGAAGGATACTGACAAGCTGGAATATGTCCAGAGGAGGGCAACTAAAATGATCAAAAGTCTGGGAACCATGCCCTATGAGTAGCTGCTTAAAGAGCCGGGGATGTTTAGCATGCAGATAGTAAAGGTAAAGGTTTCCCCTTGATGTAAAGTCTAGTCGTGTTGATCTCTGAGGGATGGTACTCATCTCTGTTTCTAAGCTGAAGAGCCAGCGTTGTCCGTAGACGCTTCCATGGTCATGTGAGCAGCATGACTGCAAGGAGTGCCATTACCTTCCCCCCAAAGCAGTATCTATTGATCTACTCACATCTGCATGTTTTCAAACTGCTAGGTTAGAAGCTGGGACTAACAGTAAGCGTTCACCCCAGATTCAAACCACCAACATTTTGGTCAGCAAGTTCAGCACCTTAGAAGTTTGACCCACTGCGCCACCGGACATGATAGTCAAGTTTAAATAATTGATGTTATAAGGACACTAAAAGATATTAACTTAAACATTACATTAAAAGTATCTTGGAGATCTCTCATTCATAAGGTCCCCATAAATGGAACTCAACCTGACAGCAGTTAAAAGCAACAAAGGTTCTCTATATGTCTCAGTTTTTGAAGATGAACAGAATCTAAGTGTAATATACAAGAGCAAGTTTGCTGACTAGAGCACCATGTTTCAAATATGAATGCATATTTAAATATCTTAGCCTTTTAAGCCATTTTAACATTGTCTTATTTAATCTTGTTTCAAATATTTTATTATTTCCAATCTTGAATTGTTTTCATTTTACTTGTATGATACCTTGAGATCACATAATTATGAAGTAAAAGTTCAGCAGGGTGAAAACGTTTCTTGACCAAAGTCACGTAAACCCATGTATTTGGAGCAATGAACCATAAAAGTCTACACTAAAAACATACCTAGGAAATTTAAAGAAACAATTTTTCATAAATTATTTCACAAATTGATACGATATTTTGTATTATGAAATCCTTGCATTTTTAATACACCAGTTGCAATCCGGATCTTCTTCACAAGATCTACTGAACTTACTCATGTTTAAGGCTGCCATTCCACCTTGAGGAGCTGCTGGGTAGACATTTGGAACATTTGCTGTCATGAAATCTGCAATCTGTTGTAACGCCAATAAGCCTGTTGGATTTTTTCCTTTCTTAAATTGTTCCTGGATCATAGATTCCAGTTCTTCACAGAATGCCTAGCAACAGAGTATTATGTTACAGAAAAAATTTTTTGCAGAACTTTTAATGTTGATTTAATTCTTCCTCCTATCTCACTTAAGGTTTTCTTCCTACACTATTCTATTAGGGGGGGAAATTAAGTTTATTAGAGCTTTTTAGATGTGCTGCATAAGTGCTGATGATCTCATTATAAGGGCGTGCCATATACTATAAAATCTAGTTAACTGCAGTTCATTCGTTACACTTTCATCAACATGCAAATGTATTCATCAACAGATTTTCAACATTCTATAAGAGTTGATAGAATAACATGATTTAGGGCATATGAAGTGATTTTATAACACAAAACTCTTTACAGTTAAACCCTTGTGCCAGCAGGACGGAAGACCGATAGATCAAAGGTTTGAATCCGGGGAGAGCTCCCTCTGTCAGCTCTAGCTCCCGGTACAGGGACATGAGAGAAGCCTCCAACAAGGATGGTAAAACATCAAAACATCCAGGCATCCCCTGGGCAACATCCTTGCAGACGGCCAATTCTCTCATGCCAGAAGCAACTTGCAGTTTCTCAAGTCGCTCCTGACATGAAAGAAAAACTGGTTGCCTCTTTCTATTCACTTGTAGCTTCATGTTGCATAAAAACACAATTCTGTCACATGCTACTATATAACCTAGAACTTCCCAAATATTTTAAGGAAAATAATCTTGGCTAAAACAGACCCTATGATAGCCAGCTTCTTCAGTGTTTCCCCCCTGATCATTATTTCCACAACAACTAAGGGAGGGTAAGATTTTTTTTTTACCTGCACAGAATCCCTATCCAAAAGCAGTCTAAACTTATAATAAATCAAGATGTGTAATAGTTGCCAAATATATGATTACATGCGTCCCTATGGGTTCTGTCATGTACATCAAAACAACATTTATGTAAAACTGTTTAATAAAGTAACAAAAATTATTGCCACTTATTATTGCTCATTTCTTGTGGCACACCTTTTGTTTTCCAGCTTTTGAGACATGCAACTCTGCTTTGCTATCATAATGAGAAAGTAGCTGCAAGCAACATCCTGTGGAAACTTACTAAAAGCTCATGGGATGCAGACCCAAACATCAGCCCTGGCCTTGTCTTACTCAACTGCTGAGTATGCCGGCCCTGAATGGCATAAATCTGCACATGTGAAGTAGGTGAATATAGCACTAATGAGACATGTAGAATAATCACAGGATGTCTTAAACCTACATCTGCTGATAGACTCTATAAGCTAGCTGGCACTGCCCCCCCCCCCCCCGATGTGCGACAGGAAGTTGCTGCCAATTGCGAGAGAAATAAGATTGAACATTGTGAAAGCCATCCAGTATATGACTATCAGCCTCCTCCCAGTAAACTTAAATCAATGAGAAGTTCCATGAGAACCACCACTCCTCTAAATGTCCCTCCAGCAACAGCAAGAATATCCTTCTGGGCAGCAAAATCAGGCACTTCCAACTGGATGGCCCCCATGAGGGTCTTCCTCCAGGGGCAAACTAAGTGGGCAACTTGGAAGTCCCTGAACAGACTCAGAAGCAGAGTTGGCAGATCAAACAACAACCTAGCAAAATTGCACTACCTAGAAGAATCCTCCACCTTGTGCAACTGTGGAGCAGAATATACAACGCAGCATCTGTATGCTTGCCCACAATGCCCTGTTTCATGCACAGAGTAAGAACTATTTAAAGCTACAGAAACTGCAGTTGCTGTTGCCCATTTTTGGTCTAAAACTATCTAGCAGCTTGTGATCCCTTTATTTCATCAGTTTTAGATCATTTTTTTTGCAATGCTTTTGACATGAAATAAATAAATAAGGAAAGATATAACTTCGTCTTACTGGGCTTTGAAGAATCATGGAAACTCTCTTCTTCTGTTCCATCATATTGAAATCCTGGCGAAGATCAGGTGCCATGTTTCTCTCTCGCAAATATTCTGGATCATTTTCATCAACTCTGTCAAAATACTTCTCTTTGTGAGGTGCTGATGAAAGTGGTGACGTAACCACTTCTGCTCTAGATTCACCGTTCATAGCTGTATTTCTGTAGTTCTATGGAAACAAGAAACAAAAAACATATCAAGAATCTATTCCTTCATGTTCTACAGTTTAATTGTCTACTCATACCACCTACTTTATCAGATGAAAAACGTTTACAAATTGGATACTAAAAGAATCTTCTGCAATGAATGGTGTTTTAAAGAGATTATTCTTTTTTTAAAGCCAGAAATACAAAGTAAAAATATCTTACTATTAAATTTTTGCAAATTTTTTTTAAACATTTGTATTTTAAAACAAATTTGTATTTTAAAACATTTAAAACATAAATGTATTCCCAAACCTATATTCCCTCAGCCCTCCCATCATTCACACAGCATTATAAAAAATACAGCTCTGCAAATTTTATTACTTCTACTTATCCTAATTTCAACCATTACATATACTTTTTATAATACGTTTTCTAATTGTTCATCCACAATCTTTCTTGGATGTTTGGTGGTCCAAATGCACCATTGCTTTTACACATGAAACTCATAAATTACTTCCATGTGTTATCTTTTTCTCCTATTGCTAATCTTAATTTCAAGTGTAACTTTCCCGATAGGGTAATCACCCATATTCTGCTTAGCCAATTCACTAGTTTTTTCCAATAAATTCACTAGTTTTTTCCCAAGATCTGACTATTTCAAGTCTAGTGGTGCATAACATTTGCAATGTAAGATTTTTATTTGCCAAATTCTAATTCTTACTTTCAAATACAGAAATTATTAGTACAGCACCCTGAAATGTAACACTTTCCCCACTATTTGGCTTATCCATTATAGAACTTCATCCCAGAACTTTCGTACCACTGGACATGTTAGCCACATGTTGCTCTAATCCCCTATTTCTCCACACTTTCTCTAACATAGTTCACAGAATCCATTATTGATCCTATGCAGTTTGAATGGATAATAGTACCAACTATACATAATTTTCAAAGTATTTTCTCTCAGTTGTGCTGAAATTGATTTATATGCTTATGTTTGGTGGGGACACGAGACAGGGCCTTTTCTGTGGTGGCCCCCCCCGACTCTGGAACACCCTCCCCAAAGATCTTAGACAGGCCCCTACATTGGCAGTCTTCAGAAAGAACTTGAAGACCTGGCTGTTCCGATGTGCCTTTCCAGAATAGGAAATCTCCAATACCAAGTCCCATAAGCACTTTATTAAAATTATGATTGCCACACACTGCATACTGCACTTGCCCTATAAGCCTTATATACCACCTGTCACATCAGCACTTTTAATCTTGTACCCATTACTCTGGCCCGGCCCAGTTTTATTGTGTCTTAGTGTATTGTTTATTGTTTGTTGTTTATATTGCTTTAATTGTTTTTAATTTGCTTTAGGTTTTGTATTGTTATATTGTGTGTTAAGGCCTTGGCCTTTGTAAGCCGCATCGAGTCCTTCGGGAGATGCTAGCGGGGTACAAATAAAGTTTAATAATAATAATAATGTTTTCCAAACTGTGTTCCATTGTTTGTCTTCTATTTCAAACCCCAGATTCGATTTTCATACTAATCTCAATCCATTAAATGTTCCAAATTTTACTCCCTGAATTATCTGATATATTTTTGAAACTTGCCATAGGCTTGATTTAATTTATCATTGCAAAATTATTCAAATGGCATTAAGATTCCGGGGGGGGGGGGGGTCTTTTCTCTCTGGTTGCTTCTGGATTGAGAGAATTGGCCGTCTACGAAGACGTTGCCCAGGGGACGCCCGGATGTCTTGCAATCCTGCGAGAAGGCTTCTCTCATGTCTTTTCTGATTATATTTATCTGAAATGTGTTTATATGTACCAATCCCCACCAAGATGCATTAACCGGCTTTATCTTATTTCTCAATTGTTCCATTTGAATAGGTTTTCCTGATGAAAATAAGTTGTGCATTGTATTAATACTTTCTCTTCCCACACCTTAAACTGACTATATTTATCTTCATGTTAAAAAACTTGTGTTTTTCTAACAATGGACAGAGGAGTGATGGAGGTGGAGCAAATACTTTCTCATATATGAACCATATATTAATCAAGCCCTCAGAGTAAAAGGATTGTCTAACTTTTATTTTCTTTTATTCACTTTATCTACAAGCAGACTTGCCAAATAATCTATCTATTTAACGGACTGTGGAATTCGCATCCTAAATCTTGAGATCTGTACTAATTTCAACTCCTTGCTGTCTCATTTTTTCTCTCCTTTCGGTCATCTAACTAAACAAGATACCATGCATTAATTTTCTAAAAGTAAACTGCAAATGACTGAACTCTGAAAAGGGTTCTGCAGTGGGAGGCAAAGAGGGACTTCAGCCCTTTTCTCTCATTTAAACCCAATTCAAAACAGCACAAACATTTATTTGCATTAGAAAAAAGTCTACAGTTCTATAAAAAAGTATATAGGGTTCTTCTCTTGTAGTGGAAAAAGTAGAAATTTATACTGTGCTTTCTCCCCAGTTTGAGATTCAGGACATTATCACCACAGAGGAAGCAAAATATATGTGAATCCTAAATTGGCCAGTAGTCCATATGATATACTACTTAAAAAGAAGTAAATGCAACATGCTCACTCTCAAAGCTTGAAACCAATGGAATAATATGCATAACAAGTTTCATAATTATACTGTAACACATAAAGGACATGAATTAACAAAGCATGCTAACAATTCGGTAAAAGAATCTCAGTTCAATTACACCATAGTTTCTGTCATCTAGCTCAAACTCTAATTACCTTTGTTCCCTGTCATTATCTCCAAAAACCATGTCTTCTCCCTATGCTTTTTTTTTGTTCATGATCTAGTTTCTGGACCATTTCCTAAGCCATAATTTAGTGAATATGATTACAATTCTGGGGCTTGGATCTGGGAGACCTTCGTGCAAACTGCCAGTCAAACACACCTAAAGTGCATGGGTGGCCTTGGTCTAGCGATTCCATCAGTATAACCTCCCCCCCCCCCCCCGGTGGGGCTGCATTGATAGAATTTGAGAACTCCCTGTATTTATTCAAGTATAAAGTGCCAGTAATTGTTAAGGCATCTACTGTCAAATGCAATACATGGTATCCCCTTGCCTCTTGGCCATTCTGCTGCCTGCCTTGCAATGGCTGACAGGCAAGAGAAAGACATGTCCCTCTATAAAGCTGAAGCTGGCGAACATAGCCTGATGGTCAGGCAGTGGGTTCCTAACTAAGAGAGGTTGTGAAGGCCTTGTGTCAGGTTGAGACCAATAAGTTTGCCAGCTCTGTCCTGACAGTAGGACGCTGATGACCTTATAGGTGAGATTCTAACATGCCATCGAATCTGCTGTGCAACTCACTTCTGGCAATGTAATTTAGCCAAAAAAGGTAGCCATTAGATCTGAGTAAATATAGTATGAATTCAACCTTGAAGTTTTCTTAGGGTGGGATATAGGCCATAAGTAAAAAAAACATTACCTGCACCTTAAACAAAATCTATTTTATCTTTCTCAGTCATGACACTCTTCCTCACCATAACATCTTTCCTAGGGGTGAAGAGCATATAAAAACTCAAACTGTAAATAAGAATTTTACCCATATATACAGATTGATTTCTCCTTATCTGGAAATTCAAAATATTCAAAAAACTCAAATCGTTTTGGTATCACTCTTGCCTTTGGGAAATAGAGGTTAATCACATGTCCAGTGCCCACTGACCAGTTTTTCCTCAAGGACCCCTGACAAGGAAAAGAAAACAGTGGGGAGGGTTCCACTTCCACAAGGCCCCTGTAAAAAGTAGATGTCCCAGTTGTTTCTGTGTTCACCTTCCACCCGGTCAATGGCCGTGCATGGCAGAGGAGGAGCACTCTGAAAATGGCCTTGATGGGCAAGCGCAGAGTGAATGCATTCACTACTGCCTGTATCCAGCCTAGAGAGAATGAAAAAAGCTTGTGTGCATGTTGAGAGAGAGCAGTATTTACCCTTCTTTCCTGTCTACTTGGTTAAAAGGGCAGAAAGCATGCTAACAGTTGAGAAACAACTGAGATGCCTGGTTTTTACAGGAGTCTTGTGTAAATGGCATCCTCCGTAGCTTATTCCTCATCCCTTTCCTCTGGCCAGGGCTTCCTGAGGGGGAAAAACTCAACACATCCTGGATATCTGACTATCCCCCACTTCAACTCTCATTCACTATGAATATGCAAATATGGGTATTTCAAAATGTGAAAAAATCCAAAATCTGAAAAGTGTTTATGCCCAAGCATCCCAGATATGGAACACTCGTCTTTTGTGATTCCCTCTATGGCAGTGGTTCCCAAACTTTTTTTGACCAGGGGAATTACTTGATCAGGGACCACTTGACCAAGGATCACTTTGACCAGGGACCACTCCCCAAGATTAGTACCAAAAGGGTTATGAATCTGTTTTTGGTCAACTTCAGATTCAGTTTGGTTATTTGGGGTGTTGATTCAGAAAATTGCATTGGATAGACCACATCAGCTCTAGTTTCTGATACAGAATATATGCCATCCAGTATTCACCATCTGCTCTCCCACAGACAACCATATTTAGTAATCTAGAGCCACTGACCTTATTTTAGGTCTCGCGGCCCACTAGTGGACCATGGCCCACAGGTTGGGAGCCACTGCTCTACGATATGCCACAATGTAATGTTATTTAGGTAACTCACCACAGTTACCCAAACCATTCTCATAATTCAGAATAATCCAGGACCTTATATTAAGTGATGGTTGAGGATGCTGACTTGCTGTGATGAAGGCAAGGATAGTTTTCACCAATACTTGACTTTGATACAGTTAAATGTTATCCATTCATTCCTTTGTACTAGGTATCTGAGAAACGGCTTGTTAAGTTAGATTGAGACTGTTGCACAAATGTATTTTTAAAAACTATTTTCCTCTGAAAACATGTAATATCCTGCTGAGCATCTTCAGTAGTAACTTGTGTTCCTCATGTAGTAAATCTTATATGGTAGGGAGCACAAGGAGAGGAATATGACTGGATACTGGGGACAAAAAATGTGTAAATGGACTAACGCTT